GTGTGTGCGGCCGTACACATAGTGTTCATGGTGTTCTTGGTGTTCTTGGTGTTCTTGGCTAAAGATGTTACCTTTTATGAAGATCCTCAAGGAGATTTGGATGATACTTTAGAGGATTTCGGGTCCTAGCTTTGAAGAAGTGTATAAAGTGTTTAAAATGACCAAGTGTAGTATATATAGAAGGGAGTGTGCGGTTGGGATGGGAGTGCGGTTGGGTGTGTGCGGCTGGCTGGCCGCACACTCTGGTGTGCGGCCGCACACACCTAGTTTGGTGTGTTTGGCCCGTTTTTGCGTTTCTACACACATTCTAACCCATCCTACGACACGTATCTTAATTATACTACGCCTTAAGCACTCATATAGACCAAAAACTTCATTATAAAATAGCAAAACGAGGCTAACTTTGATAGAAATGAAGAATGTAAGCTAGAAATTTCGGGTTGTCACAACTTATATTTTGTTATAATCACTAATTAACTTAGTTCATTATCCTTTTATTTGTTTCTTATAATCCTTTTCTAGAAATAACACATGCTTTTACAAATTGTATTTGAATAAAAAATTGTATCTAATTTTTTTTGGTAAATCCAAGCAAATTGAAAGATCTATCTGCTCAAGAGTTATTATAGAATGATATTGCTAGATAATATATGTTCCTAAAGGGCCACACTAACAACAACTTTATGTAAATGTATTATTTATTAGAATTTGATTCTTTCTAAATAAATATAATTCTTGTAATTATTTATTTCATGGAAATATTAATTTTCAATGTTAAGTATCAAAATATATCATAAGGTATGATTTATTAAGTCATATATATCTTTTTGGACTATAAATACTTTTGTTTTCTAGCTAAAAATATAAGGGTATATATTTTATAAATACTTGAAGTTCTTCTATAAAAATCTTGTCATTTTCTTTATAAAATGTAAGCATGGCTAGAAAATGTAGACATGGTCTTTGGCTTATTTTATTCTAGGGGACGTGCTTTAGAATCATGACAAATAATATTAAGAGGTATGGCTTGTCCTAAAGTGTTAAGACCTAATGGGTAATATTTTGGCTTTATGAAGGCTTTTATTCTTCTCATTTCCACTAGCCAAAACCATGAAATTTTGGTCTTCCCATCTCTATATTCTATCTTGTTTTGTCTTTTAAAGAGTTAAGATCAAAGTAAGAAGAAGTTGATACTTTATTCTCTCCTTTAAGACAAAAAATTTGTTTTGTTCTTAAAGGCTTAAGAGTATTCTTTTATTACAAGAAGAAGACTAGCATCTTATGAAGTTGAAAAATTGTTGGTGTTTCTAACTAATGTGGAGTTGTACTCTACATTCTTCATCAACTTCCAACATTCCAAGAGGAACCAGAGTCTTCAAATGTTGAATTATTCTCTTCCTATAATTGTATTTAATCTTTTCATGTTTTCAAAGTGATCATTGGTGGGTTAAAATAGTTTTAAATTTATTCACAATTTTAAAGCTTTCGTTATTGTTTTAGTGTTTTTATAAACAGATTTTTGAATAAAACTCAATATTAACATAAAAATTAAAGTACATTTTCTTAATAAGAAAGTAATTGAAACTATAACGTTCCACTTAGGTATAACTATAAACTACAATGCATTAGAAATAAAGTATTTAGATATACAATGATATCAACTAGGTTGATTACTAAAGTGTAGTGCCTTTATAATAGAAAACTTGAAAGTACAATGGATAAACGAAAACAAATAAGAGTGTCGTTCTATAAAAAAATAAATTGATAAAGACAAATGGTGGTGGGATATAAGGGATTCCAAAGGTTTTTCAGTAGCTGACACAAGAAGATGAATTGATAATCATTTTTTACCTTCCATATGCATACAATGTGGGACTGTTGTATTCCTAGAAAGATAAGCATTTTAGTTTGACATGTTATGTTGGATCGACTTTCTTCTATTCTTCTAGGGATAATTTAGACAAAAGATGAATTGATATTCCTTCTATTCTTTGTCATGTTTGTGCGTCAGAAGCTAGACCATTTGTTTTTAAGTGCAAGGTGGTAGTTAGAACACGGAATGCAATGTTCAGGTGACTTGATTTTTATTGTACATATTTTGTTTAAGCTAATGCTATGTTTGATTCCATTGATGAATTTCAGTGTTCTGCGAAAAAAAAAATCATTAATGTGGTACTTTATCCCACAATTTGGTATCTTTGATGGTTCAAAAACGATCATGTTTTTGCAGGCAATAAGATTAGGAAACATCAAATTGTTGATTCCATAAATAAGTTTTCTTTTTTGTAGTACTATAATAGAAATAGTAAATGTTATAAAAACTCAGCTTGTTGGTTACATTAGACATTGTGTAATTGGTTTTTCTCTCTCTAGCTTTTTGCTAAAGTTATTTTTTGTAATGTATAACTGTTTTTTTTTTAAAAAAAAACAACCAATAATTTTTTTTATACTCTGTTTTTCATACCGAATAAACTAATAAACATTTTTATAAGAAAAACGTTTCAACTTTCAAATAAACAATCCCAGACACCCTGTGATTGTGTTAACAAAGGATAGTCTTTGGTTTGTGTTTACATTTATCCAATATCATCTACTAGCCAGGGCCGACTCCAAGATTTTAAGGTCCTGTGCTAAGAAGAAAATTAGGGCCCTAAATACAATTTATTAATATATAAGGAAAACAAACTTATAAAAAGTTTAAGGGCTAATTATGTAACTTCTGAAAACTGATTTGTTAAACATATTGGAAGAAAGGGTTGATTATAAAATATATAGAATAAAGTAATGGCCAAAACTGTAACTTGAATTTAAAACCTACACTGATTTTAGACAAAGGGCGCGCTTATGCCAATTGGGCTACCCAACGATTATGGAAAAACTTGAATAAATTCATATATATGTAGTTACTAAATTTATAATTTAATTAAAACTCGGACCCTATTTTGTTCGGGGCCCTGTGCGGCTGCACCTCGCCCGCCCTTAAAACCAGGCCTGCTACTAGCCTTTTTACAGAATTTATTTGTGATTATTATTAAGATTTTTTTCTTTATTTTCACATTTATACTTGGAAAGTTTTCCTTATTGGCCTGCGAGGACTACTCCATATGTACAACCATCTGATCATGTTCTTTTGCTTAGTAGGATTTTGGTTGTAGTCACTTGATATCACAATCACCACACTAGCATTAAGATATATCAATAAACGACACGCTATTAATAAATCATATAATATGTTTAATAGTGGGAAAAAAATATAAAACATCTATAAGCAATTGATACCAAGGTCGGTTGTGACATGGGTTAGGAGTGTAGTTGGTAACCTAAATGCAACCCCTCTTACCCGAAGAGTTGACTTTGAGTTTTCTTTCTCCAATCCCCCTATAAATAAAACCAAAACAACTACACTCTACTCAAACAAATTACCAACAATTTCAATCACTCTTCTCTATCAAACAATCTCTCCAAATGGCACAAAATCAAACACATGACACTCTCTTGTTGAAGTCCATAATCCTAGCTATCACAATAGGTGTGTTATGTGGTTGTGGAATGGCTCAAACGTCGTCTTCAGGGTGCACAAACGTGATCATTAGTATGTCACCATGCCTTAACTACATTAGTGGCAACTCGTCAACGCCATCAACAGGGTGTTGCACCCAGCTGGCTAGTGTGGTCAAGTCGCAACCGCAATGTTTGTGTGAGGTCCTAAGCGGTGGTGGCTCGTCCTTAGGCCTTAATATTAACCAAACTCAGGCTCTCGAGCTACCAAATGCATGCGATGTCCAAACGCCTCCAACTAGCCAATGCAATGGTAGGACCCTTTTTCTAACTTAAAACCGATACATGCTAGGATATTTAGTTTGAAGGTATTTAATATGTTTGTGTTTTGTATGATAGTTTTTTGTAGAGATTATAGTTCAAGTTTGCTTTTATTTTCTCTCCAAAAATGAATTCGTTAAACTTCTATAAAAAACGTAAAACTAATATGTAGAAAAATATTCAAATCATCTATACATGTTAGTTTTATGCTATTTGTTTTGCCTTTCGTACTAATTCTTACAAAATGTTTTTAAAATGAACAGCCGCGTCTCCAGGAAGTTCTCCAACAACACCAAACAACCCTTCTGGTTCCGGTAGTGGAACGAATACTGTTCCATCGACCGGTAACGGTTCAACAAATTTGATTTCTATACGATTGACAGTGGTTCCAATTCTATTTTCTTCACTGGTTGTTGCATATTCTATTATGTTTTGAGTTTTGCAAGATGACATCTTGATATTTGTTTCACTTTCTCACTCACCTTTTCGTAATTTTGTTTCACATAATCTTGGGTTTGACCACGAGGCATGTTGGTTTTTTTTTTTAAAAAAAATTGGGGATTTCATATGAATTATAACGTATAATGTACACATTCTTATGTCTATGAATAATATGAGATTATATGCATTGGATGTTGGATTTGGTTTTATATTAACGAATTGTAAGATATTTATCCAATTTGAAATTTATTAACCTACTTTTTCGCCAATCAAGCCAAAATGATAATTATATCCCAATTATTATGTTAAATAAATTATTTTAATATCACAATCACGTTGAATCTAACTTTGTTGTGGGGTTTAATCCATAAAGTAACAAATAATTGGAATATAAAAAGCATAGTGTGACACAATCAATTAATTTTATTTCAAGGTGATTCTTTCAAAAACCCAACAAACCTTTTTACTATTATAAATTTTCTAACTATAATTATACAAAAAAAAAAGGTTTATTTTTTCAAAAGTGAATATTCCAAACATATTCAATTAAAGTACATTGTTTGGTGATTTATGGCATGCCCTTATGAATAAAAAAGTAGTCATGTTTGTTAAAGAAAAGATAAATATAAAGATGACAAATGGGAAGGCGTTATTATAAAATTCCAGGTAATGAATCGCACGTGCCTCGTTGATAACAATGCTGCGTGTCTCGCTCGCTAACAAAATCATCAGGTCGAATTCATCTATTTTGCATTTACATTTACATTTACATTTCTTCATCAAGAAGGCGGATAATATGATATACATGTCTTTCAAATCCCAAATCAAATGAAAATCAATCGTCTTGATTACATCTTTACTTCCAATAATGGTTTCTTGATTTTGTTTTTCAAAATTAAACTGGGAGGGTTTCTACAAACTACAATCAAGCAACGGTTTTCCCCAATCTATTTGATCAGAAAGAACCCTAGAAGATGAGTAGACAGGGTACGCGATTCTGGACGTTTAATAGTTTGGTGGGTGCTTTTCTTGATCTTTCAATAGCTTATTTCTTACTTTGTGGATCAACCATTGCTTTCTTTGCTGGTAAATTTCTGGGTTTTTTCGGTTTGAGCTTGCCAAGTCCTTCTCATGGATTCTTCGGAATCCCTAATTCCGATTTGAATAGTTTACTCCTTGATTACCCAACTGATAAAATATCCGCTGTTCAATTCTCTGTAACTAGAAAGTTCCCTTTTGATTCGATTTTCTTTAGTGTCCCGAATTGCAATGCGAGTGATGGTTTGAATTTAGGAAGAGGTGAGAGGGTTAAGGAATTAGAAGGTGAAGCGTCTAGTAGTTCGATCTCTGATGCTAGAAAAGCTGTTAAAAATGAAACTGATGATGCTGGAGTTAAGATTGAAAAGGAAAGGGGATTCGATATGAAAGGAAAAGGGGCTTTAAATCATCGAGTGAGAGGTAGTTTTCGAAGAAGAAAAAAGAGCAGTCTCGATAGTGGTAAACGCTCTTCTGTATCATCTTCTCCAAATTGGATTACGTGTGTCGATCAGCAGAGCAATGAGAAAGAACATGTTGCCGGAGTTCAAGAGAACTCCATTCTTTCCGGTGATAACAGCTGTAACAACTGTGAGTACTTCGATTACTTGTTATTTCGATTTCTACAAAACTAATTGTTTCCATTTTTTAAGATTCATCTTTTTTTTTTCGAATTTTTGTGGTTGGTTTTAGACGAAGCACAGACTCCCATGGCGCTGAACGATTCCCAAGAACGGATTCCCATTAATGACGAAGATAAAGCAAACACGATTCTTTTATTGACACGAGAATTAATAGAGGAACAAGATGCTCGAGCAGCGCTTTATATTGAACTCGAGAAGGAAAGAAGCGCCGCCGCCACTGCCGCCGATGAAGCCATGGCTATGATTCTCCGATTACAAGAAGAAAAGGCGTCAATAGAAATGGAGTCGCGTCAGTATCAAAGAATGATAGAAGAGAAATCAGCTTACGATGAAGAAGAGATGAACATTCTGAAAGAAATCGTTCTGAGAAGAGAGATGGAGAAACATTTCCTGGAAAAGGAAGTCGAAGCTTACAGACAGACTCCACCGGAAAGTAATCAAAGTTACAATAACACCCTTGTTTCCGGTGACAACGACCCTGATCGGATTTTACGTGATCTCAGCATGTCAATCGACTTATCAAAACAAAAATTGAAGATAGACAAACAGTTGTCGGAGAAAACCATAGCCATTGTAGAGGAAGAACACAAGAAGGAGACTGATGTTTTTTATGAGACAAATGGGAAGGAGGAGGAGGCTGAGGTGAGTGGCGGAGGTGTTGTGAAGGAGGCGGAGGTGAGCGGCGTGATGGGACTGCCGCCGATGGGGTCGAAATGGAAGAGTTTAAGGAGAAATTCAACGTCGGCTTTGGATAATGAAAGAACGAAACTTGATACTGAAGTTGAGTGGTTGAGAGAAAGGTTGAGAATTGTGCAAGAAGGAAGAGAAAAGCTGAATTTCTCCATTGATAATCGTGAAAAAGAAAGTTTGCAGTTGCAGCTTTTGGAGGATATTGCTAGACAGCTTCAGGAGATACGGATGTTAACTGAACCTCGGAGTGGACGTCAAGCTTCTCTTCCACTTCCTTCCGCTAAGGTGCTGACTGTTTTTTGATTTTTTGACTATAAGGATAAAATGGTCATTTACTCACATCACATTTACTTGTTTTGTTTGTTAGATGGAAACTGATCATTTACTTGCATGCATACAGTTTCAGTTACTCCAAAAAGAAGCAGTTTGTGTATATAATACTTAGAGGGGTAAAATGGTCATTTACTTGCATAAAGACGGTTTTTTGTCGGACAGAATGAAGGTCGTGAGTAAATGACCATTTTACCCTTTTGTATTGTTTTCTCCATGTAATAAATGTAAAAAAAATGGCAACTTACGTTGTTAGATGGGTAAAATGGTCATTTACTTGGATAAAGACTTTTTTGTCGGACAGAATGAAGGTCGCGATGTGAGTAAATGGCCATTTTACCCTTTTGTATTATTTTCTCCATATAATAAATGTAAAAAATAGCAACTCATGTACTTAGATGGGTAAAATGGTCAAATACTTGCATAAAGACTTATTTTTAACGGACAGAATGAACGGCCGCAATGTGAATAAATGACCATTTTACCCTTTTCAGTTGTTTTCTCCATATAATAAATGTAACAAATAGCAACTTACGTACTTATAGATTGGTAAAATGGTCATTTACTTGCATAAAGACTTTTTTTGTTGGACAAAATGAAAGGTTGCGGTGTGAGTAAATGACCATTTTACCCTTTGTATTGTTTTCTCCATGTAATAGATCGCAAAATATAGCAACTTACTTCCATTTACTTGTCTAGTATAACGTCTTATTCTCCTTTCTTCCTATTACAACATTTCTAATTCGAAAAATCTACCTAATTATAACAATGTCATCCAAATACAAAGAAATTTTCACTGTTATAATTGACTAAAATTTTGTAAGTATAATAATACTATAATTGGGTATATTTTTTTTTTTCAAGAAATAAGTGATGTTCATGTTAAGGATTGAATTGTAATTTTGCAGAGTTTGTCAAAGAAAAGGCGATGTAGAAGTGCATCAATAGGACCTGCAAAAAGCTCTTGAAATGCACATCATCAAGATTTTATTATAGTACGAAGAAAGGATGTGAAAAAAATTGGTAGTTTTGAATTTTAATTTAGTTTTTTGCTATACAATATTATAATTTTGTGAATATTAGAATCAGTTGCAAGGAAAATAAAAATAGGAGTAGGTGTTTCTTTGACTTTATTGTAATTTTTGTTCAGTTTCAGTTTCAATTTTTCAAAAGTCAAACTCAAGTATGATATTAAGGCTTAAGCTTAAGTATGTGTTTTTATATTATATAAGGTTAAATTCAAGAAATAGCTCCCATTTATTGCTTTATTATACCAATCTTCTTTAGTTTCTTATTATTATAGCATTGTACTTTCAATATTTTATTCTTGTCAATGCATAGTACTTAAAAAAATCCACCAAATTATAGCATTGAATTTTCATTGTTTTTCTTTTTAGTATATTACACATTGAAAAATCTATTCAACTATAGTAGTGAAAGTATTAAGTAGCTTTGTATTATTTGGATGACATTTGGCAATTGGGTAGATTTTTTAAAAAGTACAATGTAGTAAATCCGAAGCTATAATATATACACAATTACTCTACATTGCTATTTCTTGAATTTCATCCTTTTATATATATCTAATATGTGAATTAAAAGTTAATTTATTTCTTTATATGTGGCACCCATCTTCCATTTCATCATGTTACAACAGTGTATTTTAAAAATCTATCTAATTGTAACTGTGTCATACAAAAACAAAGCAATTTTCACTTCTACTATTAAGTAGATTTTTCAACCTAAAAATGGCTTTATATTTTCAAGAAAACAGTGATGTTTATGTTTGAGGATTACATTAAAATTTGCAGAGTTTGTCAAAGAAAAGGCGATAAAGCTCTTGAAATGTGCATCAAGATTTTGAAGTATTAAACCAAGGAAACAAGAAAGGATGTGAAAAAACTTGGAAGTTTTGATTTAGTTTTTTTTTTTTGCGATATAATATTATTATCTTGTGAATATTAGAATCAGTTGCAGTAGTATGTATTTGACAAAATTGCAAAAATGGTGTATGCATTTTTTTTGGGATTTTGGTCAAAACCCCGATTTTTTTGGATTGAGGGTCCTTTTGAGCTACTTCGTTTGTGGTTTTGGTCCCTCCTAAAATTAAAAAGACGAGAATACCCTTCTGATACATTTTCTATGTTTTTTTCTATTTAACATAAAATTTTATTAATAAAAATTATGGGACTCACCTCTCTCTCTCACTCCCTCTCTCTCTCTCTCTCGCGTTGAAGGAAAGAAAGCACTGGTGATTGTAACACCGGTCTAGGCTGCTCACCACCACGACTGCCGCCATAGACCACCACAACCTCACCGAAAACCATCCTTGTCTGTCTTGGTCAAGCCCCACCACCATTCCCTTACTGTTTCTGTCGAGCAAGCTGCAAGGCACCACCCTATACCACCGTGTTCTTCCCCCTCTTGCTATTGATCGGAGCAAACTGCCACCACCATCTTTACCCACCTAATTTTTCGAACACCTCCTCCACCTCCCTATGTCGTGACCCACCACCAGCAAACACCCTTCCCAAACACCTCCGGACCATAGCCTTGCGCCTCCCTGCCCTCTCTCTCTCTCTCTCTCTCGTTGAGCTCACCTGAAAAGAAAAGAAAGGAAACGAAGGCAGTGAAGCTGCCACCACAGCTCCGTCACCACCCACCGTTGGCAAAACCCACTTCACCACCCACCACCGCTGTGACTGTTGGCAAAACCCACTTCACCACACCCACCAAACGTCATCGTCGTTGGTGCTTCGTCTTGGTCCCTCGTCGAGCATCCGCCAACAGAAATGAAGTAGCAAGGCCACCTACAGCTACCAACCGCAGCCACCCATCGCTGCCCTTCCACCGTTGTTGCAGATCAGGTAGAAGGAGAAGAGAGGGTGGGGTTAGGATCGTTTTTTCTCATCCTGATGCAGACTAAGTCGGAGGAAGAGAGGTCATCGTCTGAAATTTTCGAGCTTCCTTTTGATGCGTTGTTGAACGCAATCAATGGTGGGAGGATCGAGCGGAGTCATTGAAGGCTAACCAGTGGCGACTGTTTGTATATGTGGAGTGTGTGTATGTATATGTGTGTATCGTGGAGTGTGTGTAGGTTCTTTATGGTCATCAGAGAGAGGAGAGAGAGAGAGAGAGAGAGGAGAGAGAGAGAGAGGCCCGGTTTTATATTTAATAATAATAATTTTAAAAAGTGAAAGAAAAATGAAAATTAAATTCATTAAGGGTATAATAGTCTTTTTAGTTTGGACACGGACCAAAACTGCATGTAAACTAGCTCAAAAGGACCACCAATCCAAAAAAGTCGGGGTTTGGACCAAAACCCCAAAAAAATGCATACCACAGGGACCATTTTTGCAATTTTGTCTAAAATCAATGACAAATGAACTTTAGTCTATGTTCGATCATCGATGAATCGTTATTTCAGTTATGGGTTTTGACATTGAGTTTTTAACCATGAAGATCACTAATAAAAACAAAGTGAACACATAAAGCAAGTTAGCAAATTAATCCTCCAAATAAGATAAAACAAATACTTTAAACTTAAACCCAATAGAAACAATCTAACCCCATATGGTGTTACCAAGTCATCCAAGTATTAATTACATCAAAATCTGTAAATCAATATCCTCAATAGATAAAGCATAAAATTTTGATAACATTCATTTTCTGGAGGGTGTTTTAAACTTCATTGCTATAATTGGAGGGTTGTTCAAGGTTAAGTCTGAGTGATTTGGTTGTTGTTTAAATTGTTGACTCACAAGTTCGCTGCCTTATTAGTGTTTTGTTCAAGGATTTACATAAAAGACAGAAGTTCTGGAGGATTTACTTGAATTCCTAGATTTGAGCTATATGTTGATTTGTTCTTTTACTAATCAAACTCTATAAGGGGTGAAGAGGTAAAAGCCAATGAGAGTAGTAAGAACAATTAAGGGGAGTTAAAATCCAAACTGAGTGTAAACAAAGGTTTGTGACGGATTTGTAATGGAAAGTATTAGCTACAAAGATTATATAGGAATATGGGTAATCAAGGAGCTACATCTCCACAAAGCCAGAAGGACAACAAAAGGATGACTTTAGAATGAACTAGCTTTTGAAGATAGGCTAGGTTTCATAGGGCGCATGCGAGGAAATGTAAGCGAAACCAAAGAACTGATGGGAAATTTTGTTGTTGATTTTAGTGTCACCAGACATTTTGTGTAATTGGAACTAATATGTGAGCTAAGGGGTTTATGATTTGTACTTTATATTATATGTTTTCATATGTGCGGAGTGCACACACATATAAGATCAAATTATAAGCCGATACGAAAAAATGTTGGGGGTCAAGGGGGTCGCGACCCCTTGTAGGGTCGTAGGGGCAGCGTCCCTAACAGGGTCCAAGGGGCAAAGCCCCTGATGGGGTTTGGGGCAGCACCCCAAAAGGTCTTCGGAAATTTGGATTAGTCTTATAGTGAAAATTCTGAATTCTAATGGGTAATTATGGTAAAATCGACAAATCTCATCGGTTTGGAAATCATTGGTTATACCATTAATTTCGGGATTTACTTAACTAATTCAGAAGATGGAAACCCTAATTGTCAGGTATAAATATGGATCTTCTCTTTGAGCCGAGACACACCCTTCTCATCTCTCTTTCTTCTAAAACGAACTTAGAATTTCTTTAGTAAGTTGGCTTGTGTTTCTGTGCCTAGATTCACAAGTGTCCCTTTAGGTTATCCTATACTAGATTTCTTGGAACCGGAGCATAGGGTAGATAGCGAACATACATGATCCATGAGAAATACGGATCTCCACCACATCCACTCAAAACCCTAACATTTGAACTGATATTTCCTGTCTGGTGGAGATGACTGATTCAATCTGTGAGATGTCTATGGAGTTCAGTAAAGTGGACAAGTTTGGAGGCAATGATTTCATGAACCGGCAGAAGAAGGTACACTTCATGTTGACCACACTAAAATTTGCGTATG